CTACTTTATTGCCTTTGGAAATAATTGGGAAGTATTCAGAGCACAATAGTCAATAAATCACACAAGCAGTGAAGAAAAGCATATTTGTTCTTCCTTAATCATATGGTGAGTTGTAAAGTTGGGTGCGGGGCTTGGAAAGCAAAAGAAATAAGAGGGAAATTAATTACAGTCACACTGCCTGATAATAGCAAATGGTATTTAGTGTGCTATGCCTGTACATTTCAGGAGTTGGGGTATTACAAACAAAGCAGCGGCTGGCATTTCCACTGGGAGGAAATCAATATTGTGCTGCCATAAATGTTTCTGCTTGCCTGACAGAATGGTCTTCCCTCTTCTCCCTTTGCACACTTTCTGGGGGTTCGCCCCTTGCCAACATACCTGAGCCAATTTGTGTGTGAGGTGATGCATGGGGAGAGGAGAGGTGGGGAAGCCCTCTTGCACTAGCAGAAGTCTTTGTGTGAGCTTCAACTAGCAGGACCAATGAGTTGCATCTGTCTCACAGCATCCAGCACCTAGCAAATGGTATTAGCATGTGTGGCAGTGATGTCTCATTCTGTTCCCTGCCAGGTCAATCTCTCATTCACTCAATTATTGTTATACTTGACTCAGAACATGGCCTGAAATGAAATAAGAGGTGAATTTGGAAGATTCTGCCTGGACAAAACATCAGTTGGAATTATGACTTTGACCAAAACAGAATCAGTAGGATTCACACAAAAAATCACATCAGGGTTTCTCATTGCTGTAGGGCAGGCATGGCCAAACTTGGCCCTCCAGCTGTTTTAGGACTACAACTCCCATCATCCCTAGCAATCAGGACCAGTGGTCAGGGATGATGGGAATTTAAAAATTATAATGTAGCACCTTAGAGAGCAACTGAGTAGTTTTAGGAATAAGCTTTCATGTGCATGCACACTTCTTCAGATACATGCGTTTCTATATTTCATTGACGATCAGATTACTACAGGTACACATTAGACTCAAATTTTCCAAAGGCAATTTTCAGTAGCATCCTTAAGTTCACACAACAGCATCCTAAATTTCTTCTTGGTAAGCAATAGAAGAAGAAGAGAAGAGTTTGGATTTGATATCCCGCCTTTCACTCCCCTTCAGGAGTCTCAAAGCGGCTAACATTCTCCTTTCCCTTCCTCCCCCACAACAAACACTCTGTGAGGTGAGTGGGGCTGAGAGACTTCAGAGAAGTGTGACTGGCCCAAGGTCACCCAGCAGCTGCATGTGGAGGAGTGGAGACGCGAACCTGGTTCCCCAGATTACGAGACTACCGCTCTTAACCACTACACCACACTGGCTCTCAATAGTCACACAGCTGCTGGGAAGTTCAGATGGTTGCCCCACCAGACAAGCCTCTCCATCTCTCTGATGTTGGCATGAAAAACAAAGTAAACCGGGCAGTTTCTATGCAGGGAGACAACACCTCAAGAAGAGGGGAAATTCAAATGCTTCAGTTGGCCCATTCAGAATCAGAAATGCAGCTTGGAGCAGAAGTTCTAAACACCATCCTTATTGGCCCCTCAAATCAGATGGTCCTGGGTGCACTTCCAATGAACGACACCTCTAGACTCTTAAGAGAACAATAGCTCCATAGGCTTGTGGGGTGAAGGAATGGCTATCAAACCAGTTTAATATTTGTCTGTCACAGCAGACCATGGAGGAGTGCACTTTTAGAGGTGATGCCAAACTGTTGAAGAGTTGTAGCTCTTGCTGCAGAGACCAATATGAGAGAGACATGTTTTGTTGGCAGCTGAGGCAGATGAAGGTGTCTGATTGTGCTGCTGCAAATGCACCATGGCATTTCTTCTCTGTGTACTCCTCCCAGTAGTCTTTCCTCCTCTGGTCACTGCTGTGAATACATGACCTGACTCCCTGTCTCCAGGCACTGTAGTCGTCTGCAAGCGATTCCCACATGGAGGGGTTGATGTTGCCAGTCTTCATGTCACACCTGTAGACATCTTTGTACCACAGGGTTGGTCTGCCAATGGGCCAATATTTAATGGTCATAACTTGTGGCATGGAGGGAAAGAGATGGCAACATTGCACTTCTGAACTGTAGAAATGCTAGAAGTGTTTGAAGTGTGTGTGAGTCCTTGAATGTTCTCCTACCTTCAAAAGGGGCAACTCTCAAGTGGTCCCAGCATCTGTATGGGTTTGCTGGTGAATGGGTGAGTTGAACCTCTGTTTAGCAACAGCAAGTCTTCTGAGGGAATGTGACGGAGAGCTAAACTTCATTCATTGGATGGGATTGGCTAAGACTTTCCTTTGGGACTCATTCATCGTTCTCAAGGGAGGCCATTGCTTCAAGTGTGCAGCAGAGACAAATGAGTTGTTGACAGGAAAATGGTCCTGAAATTGCATAGAGGAACATGAGGTCTTGGCAGACAAAAGGAAGAACCCCTTTTCTTATTCTTGCATTATTATTATTATTATTATTATTATTATTATTATTATTTAAATAGATAAAGGGTTTGGCTCTAGGATTTTCCTCCCAGCAAATCTGTAGTAGCAATTTCCATTATGAATGTTGCCTGTCTTGCAACCTAAATGACTTAAAGTCATTTTCAGCAGCTTTTCAATGTGCATTGCAAAGTGAATTAATATTTTTGATACCTAAAACCATATTGGATCCACAACACAAACACACACACACACCCTTTAATTTCATGGGATTGCATGGTTTAGGAAGTACAGCAGTTACAGGTGTCAAAATGAATGTGGCAGACATTGTTTCAGTGGAAAATTACAGAGTTGGCACGATAAAGCATGCAACACATTGTTGACTAAAGGGACAATCACCATGTAGCCAGCTGGGCCGGCTCTGCCATTAGGCAGAGTGAAACTTGTACCTCAGGTGACACATGGTGCAGAGCAGGAATGGCAGTGGCAGGAGCTACGCTGGTCATTCCTCCTGAGTTGATATGGCTAGATGTGTTCTTGAACTGTAATAATGCTTCTTGTTTGCCTTGATGGAGGATAAAGAGGGATTGTGTGTGTGTGTTTGTTTGTTTGTTTGTTTTGTGTGTAGAAGCTTGTCTGCCATACAAAGGTAAAGTTCATACAGTGGTACCTTGGTTCTCAAACTTAATCCATTCCAGAAGTCTGTTCCAAAACCGAAGCATTCCAAAAGCAAGACATGCTTTCCCATAGAAAGTAATGCAAATGGATTAATCCATTCCAGAATTTTAAAAACAACCCCTAAAACAGCAATTTAACATGAATTTTGCTATTGAACAAGACCATTGATCCATAAAATGAAAACAATAAACAATGTACTGCAGCCACACAATCAATCAGTAGCTGAACTGGGTTCCACACAGTCACAAAAACAAAACAAAAAAGCAACAACAAAAATGCAAAATAGCAAAAACAGACAGACCTCAGAGTAACACCCAAAAGAGAAGTGTGGCACTCAAAATGGAAGTGTGGCACTCAAATCAGAAGCGTAACATTCAAAACAGAGCACGTTCAGCTTCCAAAGAAAGTTCGCAAACCAGAACATTTACTTCCAGGTTTGCAGTGTTTGGGTTCCAAGTAGTTTGAGTACCAAGGTGTTTGAGAACCAAGGTACCACCGTATTCAGTGCTCTGCCTACTTTTGCATCTGGCCCTGACTCTCTCTGGCATGTGGCCTCTGGAAGGTTGCCTAGGGAATTCAAGTTTTGGCCTGGAAAATGTTCCCCTCCTAGTTATACCAAGACTGTGGAACACTATGATGAATAAGGGCTGCTTCATGGCTTCCTTTAGGCGACTGCAACATTATATCATCCTTGTATTCCCTGGCCTTAATTCATTTGCAAAGGGGTTAATACAGGGAATGAATAAGATTTGGAATGTAGAGGAGCCTGTCTATCCCAGGTGATGAGGCAACAAAGTTTTTTTGGGGTACATTCCAGTCCCATGATTTTATTAAGCCTTAGCATACCAACCGCCTTCATTAATCCCAAAGACAAATTCCTCAGAGCGTCATTAAAATGTGAAAAGAAAATATCCCAATTGCTATTTTCACACATGGCATAATCATTAAGCTAGAGCCTTTTAGCATTTGTCCTAATTCCATTTCTTCCTGATGGTTTACGTTGTGGGTTTCTTTCCTTTTTAAAAGAAGTAATTTATAAGAATAAGAGATCAGTATCAGAACTGGAAGGAACTGTGCATGTGTCAATCCTTTTGAGAGACACTGAAGCGGGAACCTGAGAGTTTTAAATATTTTCCAGTTCTTCCTGCTATCAAAATATACTTGTTCCCTATATAAATCAAGTCTCCCCATGGCCTACCAAAAACATTATAAGCAATAGCAGCTGGTCTAAAGGCAGGCCAGGTCCTGAACTATGGAGGATTCCATAATAGTTTTGGGGTGTGTTTTTTTTTAAAGTTGGTTGATGATACTCTCAAGGAGAGTGTTGAATTCAGGAACAGAATAAAGAAAAGCCCAATTTTACTAAAGGACACATCTATCTGATTAAAGGGATCCCTGTCATTCTGTCTCACTCATAACCAAGAAATAGATCACTGAGTGGACGGCTTTTCAGGCAGGAGCAGACTGGAATTGTAATTTGAAATTCAAATGGATATGGACTTAAAGATTTTTGTGCATTAAACAAGTTTCTACTCTACCTAATTTCCCAAAGGACTCCAGGGTGGATTTTTTTCATTTTAAAAAATCATATTATAACAATATAAACATAAATAACTATCCACAAATTAAGCCCAACCACAGGATCAAGATATAAGCAGGGAAGCTACCATAAATTTCACAAAATTCAGAAATGCAGAACAGTCATAAAAATACAAAACCAAGCCGATGAAATGTCATCCAGCCAAAGACCTTTTCAAAAAGCCAGATCTGTGAAATAAGGATAGGACCGGAAACATTTTGGCTCCATTTGAACCATACATGCAAAGCAGTATCATACCACCTAAACTGTCATGGCTTCCCTCAAAGAATCATGAGAAGTGTAGGTGGCTAAGGAGGCTGGCAGTTGTTAGGAGACTTCCTATCTCCCTCACAGAACTCCAATTCCCAGAGTTCCCTGGGAAAGAGGCATTGATTTTTAAGCCACTCTGGAAACTGGAGTTCTGTGAGGGGAACAGGGGTCTCCTAGCAACACTCAGCACCTTTAACAAATTACACTTTGCAGGCCCTTCATCTGTAATGTTTTATTTTGGTATTTTGTAATGCTTTGCTTTCTTTAATTTAGGTTATAATCTGCATTGAGATTTTTTTTAAAATAAAGCTGTATAGAAATGTTGCAACCAAATAAATTGTGTTTCTTTAAAAAGTAACAAATAAAAAAACAAATGTTATTAGCCAAGGACACATTTGGAGTTGTCAGTGAAGTGAACAAGGACACTGAAGTATTTAGGGTTGCCATGTGTCCTCTTTTTCCAGGACATGTCCTCTTTTTCCTAGGCATGTAAAATGAGAGTTGTCACAGCTATCCATAGTTAAAAGCAGAAGTTGGCAAATGTGTCCTCTTTTTTTGCTGTTCAAAATATGGCAACCCTGGTGCTGCTACTGTAACTGGTGTTGCTATGATTACTACTAATAAATGCCTCAATCTCATTCTATGCCTTATTGACAACTGCAAAGAAGACATTGGCCAATTCCAGGAAACCTGAGCACATGCTCTAAACCAGTGGAGGACAAGAATAATTTAAAGCAGCCATAGTTTACATCAGGTCAAATTGTCATCTCTTCATAGGAACATAGGAAGCTGCCTTGTTCTGAACTCTACCACTGAGTTATGGAAGCTCTGAATTTCATCTCTTAGCACCAGAAGTATGGGAGTGGGTGAGGAATAAGCAGGAATCTAGAGGGTTGCAATGATGAAAGGGAATGCACACACTAGAGATGCAAAAACGGCAACACCGATATAAAATATTTCTTTAAAGTTTCCTGCTGAATTTTCAAGTCTTGTTATGCATCCTGAAGACTGCAGATCTTCTACTTCTTGACATCTTAATAACAAAATCAGAGCATTCTCCTGCCTCTCCAAAGGGGAGATTTGTAACAGTAGTTACTTGGTTTCATGTAGGGGGATTTCTTTCCCCCTGAACCCACAAACCAATCCAACCTTTTAAAAAGCAGTGCCATTTCCACTGTGAGACTTAACATTGCAAACATCCGCTTGCCAGATGGAATATTTTCCCCTCCCATCACGTGCTGTTCTGGGTTTCCCCACCCCAACCCCTTCCCTGAGCCCATTTCAGGGTGTGTGGAGTTGCCCGAGTGGAAGCCATCACACAGGGCTTCAGCTGATGGGGTTTGTTCAGTGAAGCCCACCCATGAGGTTTTTCTCCACTGGTTTCCAATTAAACTGCACAAAATACATTTCTCTCTCTCTCTTGGGTTTAAAATTGTTACTGGCGCTACAAAAAGAGATGCCACTCTCAATTAGATCAGAACATTCTGCATCAGGGAACAACTATTTAAGAAACAGGTCCTGAAAATCTACCCAACCTCCCCCACCATTTATTTTTTTTAATCTCGGACAATAGAATACTAGAGAATTGGGTTTGTTTTCAAGTGTGTGGCAAATGCACATGAGCTCCACCTTGAATCCCACTTATAATTTTTGGACTGCTGTTCATGCACATCAAGCCTTTCTTGCACACTGGTGAATGCCCCCATTCCTGGAATGAGGATACAAGACATAACCAGAGTTAAGGTCACAACTTTATTGAATACCAAGGATCTGCCAATGCAATTAACCTCGTGGCATGGAAAGTAGCCCACAACCCACTCCTGTTGTGGCTGTTAAGATATTCCATTCCACCTTAACAGATGTGTGGAACTGTTGTATGTCACATGTCTTTTTACACTCCAGCACGGCTTGCTGGGAACTTCCGTTTGTGTGTATAGCTTTTGCTTTTGCTGCTTGCTTGGATGTGAAAGGGAGAAGGCATATTTTTCCTTTTGTCCGATGTATGCTGAGTAAACTGCCTGTAAATATGCTTTACACAGCCTCTCCCTGCCACTTCTTCTGTGTGTTTACTCTGCTGAGTTGTGTGCCCAGCTTCTGAAATTTCTGAAGCTCTGGGTCACAGATTCATGCTGCACCAAGGACTGGAGTTCGACCGGCTCATCGGCTGGTGGGCTGAAGCCAGCTGGGGGCTTCCCAATTGCCACCGATTCCTTGGAAGCATCTCAACAGTGGCAACACCACCCTGACACCAGGGGACAGAACAGAAAATAACTGATCTGCACCCTTCAACGACTCATGTAAAAAGAACATTTGGGGGGGGGCATCTGAGAGGTGACTTCAGCTCCCCCTCCCCCAGCATTCAGAGGGATGAACTTCCTAGGCCCCCTGGGGTGCTCCGCTCTCATTTTCTCCCTTGAGCTAGTCAGCAACGAAGAGTAGGTTGGGAACATTCCCATCACCACGTGGGTGCCCTTGAGAGCTCACCAGAGCAGGCCAGCCCATTTTAATTCATTGATACCTCCAACATAATGCTGCTCCAGACCAATGCTATTTATCCTAGTGGTGAAGGATGAAACTGAGAGCTCATTTGCTCTGCAGTCCCATGGTGCTTCTCTCAATGCTGAAGTGGGCGGGGGGGGAGCATATTAACAGAGCAACACTCCACAAATTTCAATGGGGAGGAATTAAACAGATGACTCTCTTGCTTGCTGCATCCTCTCAGAGCTCCTCTCAGTGTTGAGTGGAAAGGTGGGGAAGCATTGAGAAGGAGCCGCCCAGACCAATGCAGACTGTGGGGGCACCTCTAAGATCCCCCCATCCCCTTTTCACTTGGTGCTGAGAGGAGGGTTGCATCCATGTTAATCCCTCTCCAATGTTCCTAATGTAATGTCACACTGGCCTGTGGCAACATTGATAAGGGATTAAATCAAGAGTGGGGAATCTCAGCCCTGGAGACTGAATGCATCCCTCCATACCTCTGTCTCTGGCCCTCTCTATCTAGCCACACCCTTCACTAACCCTGCTTTCCATCCTGTCTGTTTTTGCCTAGCTGTGTATTTGAATGACCCTTACTTGCCCTGATGGAGGACTGAGAAGGGTGTGTGTGTGTGTGTGTGTGTGTGTGTGTGTGGAAACTGGCCTACTGTACTAAGGTAATGTTTGTCGGGCTGCCCACATTTCCTTCTGGCCCTGCCCACCACTGGCATGTGGCCCTCAGAAACTGGCCCAGAAAGGGATGTGGCCCTTGGGAGCAAAATGGTACCCTACTCCTTCTGGTTTAATATATTGTCTCCTTCAGTCCCTCACTGCTGTTGCTGAGGGCATCTGATAATGTTGAATGGCTAAGTTGCAGCAGGGTGTGTGGGTAGGGGGTGGGAAGAGATTTAAGAAAGAGCTAGTCCAGCCCAGTGTACAGTGGGGCCTACAGGGGCCTGTGACCCCTGACATTTGCCCCACCATGCTGCCTGCTGGGTTGCCCCATACAAAAGGCAGGGTTATAACACTGTATAATCCAGTCCTCTCCAAAGGGTCTAAAACAAGGAGGCTGCTGTCAAAAGAATATGGTGCGTCGTAGAAGGCATTTTCAATTTAACACAGCCTGCATCCAGCAACCTCCCTGCTCACCAGTGTAAGCCTTTAAGAAGTGGATTAGCATGTTCCTGGGCTTTAATCACATCAATTTCCTAGGAGTGGCACTTTCTATAAATTCAGGTTTTCAATTAGCAGAATCTGGGACACGGTTCAACAAAATATTACAATAATCCACCTTCGTGGTTAGAAAGGGTGGTCTGCTAAGCTCCGGGAAACATTTCAGTTCCTTTTATGTTTGAAGAAAAATGGTAGGATAGTTTATCACCGCACCTGGCAATGTTGGTTCACAGACATGCATCAGATCTGGGAAAGGGAACCTTTCACTGCAGAAGAACCACATTCCATGGAAGTAATGTGTCAGGGGCCACATGACAGTGGATGGTGGGGCCAGAGAGCCAAAAGTGTGTGAGGCCATTCCACACTCTCCCACAAACACACTACGTTCCTACCCACCCTAAACCCACCCAGTCACATACACAATAATCCATCAACCATTTCTTCTCTCCCTCTCTCACATCTTTCTCTCTCATTCACCCTCCAAAGCAATTTCCCAGGCAATCTGTCACTCGGACATGGGCAATGACTGCTCCCCACATCAAATGTGGGGGGGGGCCTTTTGCGTGGTTGCACGCAGCTCCCCTGATCCCATGTGGTTCCCGGCAATACAGCTTGGATTCCCCCCCCCCCAGGCTGGATACCTGGAGGCTGCCGCCTACCTCTGCCAGTTATTCAATCCCAGCTGGGGAGGTGTTGCCAGGAGAGAGTTGGCCAGGTAAGTGGGGGGACCACCCTGCCCACACAACAGAGGGTGGAACTTACCTGAGATTTCTCAGTCAGCTCCAGAGCTTCTCCCCCCCTCCCTCAGTTAAACCTTCTTTTGCAGGTTAACCTCTTCTTCACAGGTACGCAGGCACTGCTACGTTATGGTCACTGTTGAAGGGTTGGAAAGGAATTTTCCTGCATTGGCAAGTTTTGCCTTCCCTGTAGCAAAACGTCACAACTTTGGCAGTTTCAGGCCTTGGTTGGAATCCTTTAGTGTATCTTTCGTAAATGGGGGGTGGGCTGGGCATGAAGCAGTGACCCATGCCCCCCTCCCCCGTGGTAGCAATCCCAGGGTTTCCTGTTAAAGGGGTTGTTTGGAGGGGAGGCATTGGCCATACGCCAATAGGTTGTCATTGCTCTCCCCTGCGATGACGGCAAAATGGGGGGCGGGCTCTCTGCTTGAACAGACGTTCTCCAGAGCCAGCCCAATCCCCACACATTCTGGATAACCCTGATGTTCCCCAGATCCCCGGCCGGGGACTGGGAGGGATAAATGCCCAATGCCTAAGCCAAGGTCTCCCTATATCTGAAGCTTTAATAAAGTTGTGGCCAATTTTAATCCCATAAAACGTTGTCTTGAGTCATTATTCCACTCAGGTGTCGGCCGGGGTTGGGGGGTCTCCACCTGTCCACGCAATAGTGTGCAGTTGCACATGATTCTACTCCTCCTACTCGTGTATTTTCTATATGCATGTAGGGAACTTGTGAAACAGGCTCATAACATTGCTGCATTGACACACATGCATGGCCATGTGGGTT